TGTGTTGCTGTGTGTGTGATCGGTACCCTCGTGTACTATGAAATCGGTTGTTTTGTTGGAGGACTGTTGGAGGGGGAACGACGGTTCCCGGGGGAATAAGGTTGGACTTGGTGTACAGGGGTCCTGGAGGTAAAGGTTGGAACTAGATATAAGGTTGGGGGTAGCCATTAGGTTGGAACAGGGCATAAGGTAGGCATATCAACTCGTGATGTGTGATGTCATGAGGGCTTGTGTAGTCGTGGTTGTGTGTTTTCTTCTTGTGACGTGTGTAGTCACAAAGGCATGTGTTGCCATTTGTCGTGTCTTTATCCTTGAGTTGTTGTTGTCCTTTGTGATCTTGGGATGTGTTCCCGTGTTATCTTTGAGAGTGATGAGTCTTGAGTTGGTGTTTACTCTTGGTTTTACACTTACATATATGTATTCCGTTTCGAAATGATTTTGTATATATCTCCTATCTATGTATGATACTTAACAGGTATTGGTGGGTTACCAGCATTATTCGCTGACCGGGCGTCATCCCATGTTTTTGTTGTGTTCTTTCAGGTGATGTCTAGACGAGCGCGTTGTTTAGTGCCCGATAGTATAGCTCCTTTCGTTTATCTTACGGCCTGTGCGCCGATTTAGTTATAGACATGTGAGTTTGGGATAGTTGTGAACCATGCAGTTTTTGCCGTAGCGTTTATCGTTGTTGGTAAACGTGGCGTAACACCCTATGACTGAGATTTACATTTATCCAGTTATCTTTTAACCTTCCGCTGTGCTTGTGTTTAGTTGTGTTATCTGCATGTGTTAAGGCTTTTTATATAGCATGTTTTGGGGGGTGTTACAATAAATTTACTGATAATATAAATTTTTTTGAGTGACGAGAGAAATCAGAATTCACTATTCGATATTGTGCACTTGGTAAATCTTAACTTGTGACCATAGCCGACAAAGTATGCAATTTAACGTTTATTAAATATGTAAATCTAACATTTTATGATGAATTTACTTGGAACTACACAATTATAATATTTTTCAAAATTAAATATTATTACTCCAACTAATATGGTCAGGCGATTTGCCAAAGGCCTTGTGATCGAACGACATAGTTGTGTCCCCTCAAATGAGAGGTATCAAATTCAAATCCCAGTGTGGAGCATTGACTCTTTGTGCTTCAATTCTACTACATTATAATAGAATCAGTAGTATTCAAAAAAAAAAAATATTATTACTCCAACTAATTTGGTTAGGCGGTTGGCTTAATATCTGCAAAGTGCACACCTTCATATAGTAATAATGTGTTTCTTTTATAACATCCAAAAATAATTTAAATAGTGAGGAGTATTTCACAATTATTTTTGTCTACCTTGATATATATATATATATATATATATATATATATATATATATATATATATATATATATATATATATATATATATATATATATAGAAGAGCGCTCATATGCGGCGGGGTCTTACGGTGCGGCGGTGCGGTCAAATTCCAGAATACACCAACAGTGTTAATAATATGCACCAACAGTGTAATAAAAACACACCCCAATGAAATGTAATAAAACATCACAAAATACACCACAGACTCAAAAAAATACACCATATAACTCACCACCCCCAATGGTGTATTTCCGAACAGTGTATGGTGTTTTTACTCACACCTAATGGTGTGTGTTTGGTGATGCAGGGCTCTGTTTACTCTGTTTTGTGTGGTGTATTTCCTAACGTTGATGGTGCATATTTGGTGAACTATTGGTGTTGCCGCACCGTAAGACACTGCCGCACCTGAACCCGCCTCTATATATATATGTGTAAATATATATATATATATATATATATATATATATATATATATATATATATATATATATATATATATATATATATATATATATATATATATATATTTGTTGAGTCATTAATATGCAATTCAACTATTAGTTTAGGCTTTTAGTTGAGATGGAGCACATGCTTCAATTTGGTATCATCTCACCACCACCCATAAGCGACTACGGTGCACGTGTTGCTTGGAATCCACTGCACACATGAGGGGGTGTGTTGAGACATTAATGTGCAATCCAACTATCAGCTTAGGCTTTTAGTTGAGATACAATCCAACTATCAGCTTAGGCTTTTAGTTGAGATGGAGCACATGCTTCAATTTATATATATATATATATATATATATATATATATATATATATATATATATATATATATATATATATATACACGAGTTCAGGTACGGCCGCAACAATAATCTAAAAACATAATAAACCTCAATGAAGGTTATATCCTTGATTTATGTCCATCTTTTTGTATGCAAATAAATGTACATTTTACTTTAAATGTTGTACATTCCAATGTTATTATATATATATATATATATATATATATATATATATATATATATATATATATATATATATATATATATATATATATTTGTTGAGTCATTAATATGCAATTCAACTATTAGTTTAGGCTTTTAGTTGAGATGGAGCACATGCTTCAATTTGGTATCATCTCACCACCACCCATAAGCGACTACGGTGCACGTGTTGCTTGGAATCCACTGCACACATGAGGGGGTGTGTTGAGACATTAATGTGCAATCCAACTATCAGCTTAGACTTTTAGTTGAGATGGAGCACATGCTTCAATTTATATATATATATATATATATATATATATATATATATATATATATATATATATATATATATATATATATATATATATATATATACACGAGTTCAGGTACGGCCGCAACAATAATCTAAAAACATAATAAACCTCAATGAAGGTTATATCCTTGATTTATGTCCCTCTTTTTGTATGCAAATAAATGTACATTTTACTTTAAATGTTGTACATTCCAATGTTATTAGAAAAAACTACCCTTACACCGTTATAATACCGTTAGTTTTTAATTCTAACATTGATAACACATCATTGTTTCCATACACCTATATCTATCATACTTTTTTCCTATTTTTTAATTATTATTTTTATTAAAATCATTATATATTAATTTAATACTTAATTATATTATAATTAAATTTCTGATAAATTATATATGTGTGTGTACAAAATACATATATTATTTGTGTATATATATAATTCAAATTATAATTTTAAATTATTTGTAAAATGTTTTAATATTAGGCATGAATTTTCGTGGATCGCACGTACAAAATGCTAGTTATACAAATATACACCATCCATGTTAGGAAATGCACAACAAAAAACATGCACAAGTTAAGTACGCATCATAAAAAATGCACCAATTAGATATGAATAAAAGCACCACACAGTGTCTGAAAATATACAATTAGGGGTGGGGAGTTATATGGTGCATTTTTTGGGTGTGTTGTGTGTTTTTTTGGTGTATTTGTGCATTTCATTGTTGTGCTTTTTCCTAATCCTATTGGTGCCTTTTGTTAACACAGTTGATGCATTTTGTTAGGCGATCGTGCATTTGAACGAATATATATATATATATATATATATACACACACACACACCTTCACATTCAAGCTAGGGCAACTTAACTACAGAAAGGAAGGGAGAAGTTATAACTTTTACTTTGAATTCTAATATATGTGAGATTTCAATATCTGATATTTAGACCGAACTTGTATTACGATGTAACATAATTTAAAATATTCGAACTAATAATCTATTGTGTTCAATCAAAATAAAAATCATTATATAGAGTTTAATTCTTAATTTTGATAATGTAAATAATGTCTAACTTTAAAGTGTAAGAAAATAAGTTATATTTAAATAAGTAAAGTAAGTAGAAAAAGATAGAAGATAATGCTAAGTAAAATAAGATGATAATGAATGTAATCATAGTAATGTGGTTATAGTGACATATAACTAAATAGATGATAGATGATTATGTTTTCCATTTAGAAAACAGTTTTTAATTAAGAGTGTTCCAGTTTTCTAGAAATTTTCAGAAATTATTTTCAGTTTTCAAAATGTAAAACTGTGCTAGTAAACATGTTTTCTGTTTTCTATTTTCCAGTTTAATTTTCAGAAATTTCCAGTTAGTAAACGGCAACTGTAAGTTTAACCAAAGATTCAAAATGTCTGTAAGTTTAATCAAAATGATTGTAAGTTTAATCAAGTTGTAAGAACTCTTGAGCAAAATTTCTTCTACGATATCAATGTCTACAATTTTATCATTTAGCTCAATGTTTCAGTAGACAGTATTAGGAGAAAAAGAATAATATACTTGTGTCTGGACTCATCAGCTCAATGGTTCAATAGATAGTATTTGGGAGAAGACACAAAGGTTCAAACCGATAGATTTAAATCATTCCAAATGCTCACTCTATATGTTTTTTTAGTTTGGAATCACAAATAGAATTGAAAGTTGTCTAAAGTCTCTACAAAATGCAACAATTTCTTTTCTCTAAATGATGTATTTATTTAAAATAAAAGGAAAAATTGTAATTTATGTCCTTCTATAATATGTCAATTATCAATGTTACTCCTGAATTATTAGTGATGTAAATGTTACCTCTCAACTTTTAAAATAGTACATATATTGTCCCTCCCGTACTGCATGGAAAAAAATTAAGGGGTAACATTTATACTATGGGAGGGACAATATATGTACCGTTTTAAAAATTGATGAGCAACATTTACGTCACTAATAATTCAAGAATAACATTGATACTTGACATATTATAGAGGTTCATAAATTATCATTTTTCCTAAAATAAATGATTTATTAACTCGCAAAATTCCTCTCGAACCTTGCCAAATTTTCAATCTGTGATTGGTAAAAAGACAGCCAGCACGCACAAAGTGGGTTTCCTGGAAATTATTGAAAGCTAAAGCTAGCACAAATTTGTGAAAGTTTAATTTGGTTAGTCAATGACGCGTTGTTTGTATTGTCTGCATGCCTTTATTATATATAGAAAGGCAGAAGTTGTATGTAAGTTTAGTTGAATCAAAATGAATAATCCTCCTCCTCCTCCTATAAACATGTCGTCCAACCCAAACTGTACAGTGTATGTTAAAAGAATGCAAGAAAAGAACATTTCTCCGATGCCAATTATTGGCCTTTATGTAGCACTCGCTTCTCTGATCTGCACCTTTGCAATGCTCTTGAACTCTATTACGATTTCAAAATCAGTCACAGCATTCAAGGGCAAAATCAATTTTTTCGGTCTGAATGCAACTTGGCTGACACTATTAGCTGTGGCTACCAAGCTCACTGCCGACCTCACATCTCCCATGTGGTCTTACAAAGATAACATGTCAAAAATCAGTAGCACGCTTTTCTTAACTGTGTCCATGAGTCAATTTCTCACATCACTGGGCTCTATGAATGGCACAGATATGCTAACCAATCTCACCGCCTTGAGCATATTGGTATTTACGGTCCTTGTGGATTTATGCATCCAACTTGGAACCGGTGTGCTTGATTTCTCATTATTTCCAGAAATCATCTTCTCTCTTGTTTTGCTGTTCTGCATGTTCATAGCAATTGTGTGTTCTGCACTAGCACTTCCAGCAATTAAGAAACGCGCAGAATCAAAGCATCATACGCTAGTGAAGCAGATGGTAGCAGCAGCTGGGGGATCGGGACAACATTTACTATTTGGAGTTAAAGAGCTGAAATTGAGCATTACAAAGTATTGGGTGATGGCAGCATCGGGTAGCCCTCAGTTTCTGACCACAAGGTTGGCCTCTTTCGTTTTTATGAATATCATCACCCTATTTTCTGCACTTATTCTTATACAAGGATCTGTTAGAAGTATAACTACTAATGCATACTGGAATACTACTTGTCATAACAAGCAATCTGATTATAAGTGGTCCATACTATTGATTATAAAATCTCAATTGGGTGCCATGATAGTGCCTCTCTACACAGGTATAACCTTATTGTGTACTGTCGTGATCTTTAAGTATGAGGACAATTGGATCAAAATCTCCCGAAAAGAATTCACAGTTGAGCCCTATTGGACTGAAAGTCTAGTAGAATGGAAACAGAGTCCAATACCTATGAGAATTCTAAGAAACAAGCTGGTCACAAAATTTCTCCACGATATAAAAAGTTTGATCTTGACTTTCTGCATACTACTTCAGACTCTGGTTGTCATATTTATTAAGTTCAGTTGTATTCTTTCTTTTTACGGATGTGTTCCAATAGTATTTGTATTTAATCATCATTTATACGAACAAACTTTATTACGTGCACTTGAAGTTTCAAATGACCAAATGAGAGAAGAGATAGAGCTCAGCCACTTTGTGATACTTCTTGAAGGAGAAAAACAATTGCCAAAATCAACATTGAAGAGCATTGTTGGCGGGTTGAATATTCATATTAACTGGGGAAAGAATAGACAACCACGTAGTCTACTCAATCTTCTCAAACAAAGTTTCTTTTATAAAGGTGCAATGCAATTTGATAGCAGTCAAGTTCAAAGTCTATTATCAGAACAACCTCCTAACTGTTGGGCACTTCCCGTGATGACACTCACAACCATTGCCGTTGCCCTTCCAAACATTGCAAATCAACATGTTGATGAGCTGATAAGCAGTGTTGATGAAGGTCTCCAATATGCAAGCCAAATAGATGTGTTGGACGAGAACCATGCATTGAGATGCACTAAAAATGCAGCAACTGTTGTGTGGGTGGGAATTAAGCTTCGTAAGAAGTGGTTGGACATGGATCTTGGGGATAAAATTAGGGAAGTTCGTTCTACGGGGGAGATTATTCAAGGTCTTGCTGATGAAGCTGAAAGGATTGTCAAAGAGTTCAGTTCCACAGGAAGTCAAAACCTTGTGGAAAATCCTCTATACTGGCCTGTAAATGTTTTAGCTGCTAATTCAATGTACAGAATCAGCCGGACAATCCTTTTCTACTATGGAAATGGTGAGTACCAAGTTGAAGAGTTGTTTAAGAAATTAATTTGCATTATTGCAAACATATTGGCAGCTTGTCTTACAAACTTGCCGCACTTGATTGCTACCAAGTGCATAAACAATGCGTTTGAGGAAAGGTTCACAAGTGTTGGTAATGCAGCTATCCTTTTTGGAGAAACCGAAGATATTATGAAGTTATTTGAAGAGCGGCAACTTTTAGGCATTGGTCCAAGTCAGCCATTATGCATTGATGAATGGCTTAGATGGATGGACAGTGAAACACAAGATCCAACAGTTTCAACCTCTGTAACTCACAATGGAGCATCCTCTACTGTTGAGTCCAATGATGAGCTTGTGATTGTTCCAATGTAATCAATGTTGATGCAATGTGTGCTTCTTCTTCTCCCAAATGTGTGCTTCTAATTATATTTGTAGTTGTTGTTTTATGTTAATTTAGTACTGTTATGAAATATATATTTTGCAATCTTGTTACCTTGTCTGTGAGTCTGTCTGTTATTTTCAACTTTAGTACAAAACACAATTCTATTTCTTTAATTACTAATTGCAAATTTGTTAAACTCTTATTAGTTTGCATTGTATGATTACAGGATAGGCAGTCAACATGTCAACATGTACCATTCTATTTTTTGACCGCACCTACGCACCCGTCAACACTCAACAGAAGCCATTCTAAATAAATAATTTTAGAATAAAATTGCAATATTTTACCAATTTATTATGAATTCTCATTGAATTTTTTTTCTTCCAATTATATATCCGCTTAATTGCACTATATTGGTGTAATTTATATCACCTAATAAAAAACGCCCAAATGCTTAAAAGCGGTAAATTATACTTATACATGAACTAGGGTTCAAACGCACCAAGTTGAACTCCTATATGGGAGGGGTGTGGGTTCGAGCTTTAGTACGTGGAGACGTTATTAGCTTTCTGTGTTTTAGTACTTTGAGAAAGTAGTTATGAACAAATACCTTAGTCTAAAATGACTTTCATATTATGTGTCTGTAATTAATTATGTCCTTGTAAATAAATTGAAGGCACCTAACTATCGACTCATAACATCGCAAATTAACTTAACATATTATGTGCCTTGCAAGGTGGACCGATTCATGGTATAACAATTACTTAAACACGGAAAACTGGAGCTATTTATATTTTTTAGGCATAGGCAATGCGTCTTCACCCTTCATGCTCGGAGTTATGCCCAATCGTTATGCCATGGAACCGTGTTCACCATTCATGGTGAACACGGTCCCAACGGTGTTAGTGCACCGTTATTTCTTTTTTTTTTTTCTTTTTTTTTTCTCCTTAATTAATCGCGTGACTTTTCTTCTTCATTTTTACATTTCGCAGTTTCACTTTAATTTGAGGTGAGCAATGATTTCGGACATTCATAAATTATGAATCCATGCCAGCACATTCACTTTGGAACCATGCCTACACATTCCCGTCCGAAACCATGGTTACTCTTCTGTAACGCAAGCTTCTTCAACATTCATAAATTATGAATTTTCTGTTATGAAATTATGAATTTTCTGTTATGAGATTATGAATTTTCTGTTATGAACACGTTTCCAGGGCATAATTTGCGGAGTTATGCCGCCGTCGCCACTGGACTCTGAACTAACCACTGCACATTACCATTTTGGGAATAGTTATGCTATGCATCCGTATGCACCATGCATGGTGCATATGGATGCAAAAACGACGTCGTTTTATTAAAAACGCGCGTCTCCCGGCCCCTTAAAAAAAATTCAGGTTCGATTCCCAACAACAACATTATGTTGTTCATTCATTATGGAATTTTAGTTCATAGATTATGGAATTATAGTTCATCGATTCTGGAATTGTAGTTCATCGATTCTGAAATTATAGTTCATAGATTCTGGAATTTTAGTTCATAGATTCTAGAATTTTAGTTCATTCATTCTGGAATTTTTAGTTTATAGATTAGATCTGGAATTTTAGTTCATAGATTCTGGAAATATAGTTCATCGATTCTGGAATTATAGTTCCTCGATTCTGGAATTTTAGTTCATATGTTGTTGCTGGGAATCGAACCTGAATTTTTTTTTTAAGGGGAGACGCGCGTTTTTAATAAAACGATGTCGTTTTGCATCCGTATGCACTATGCATGGTGCATACGGATGCACAACATAATTTGCCCCATTTTGGCTAGAATTTTCAAAACGGGCCCAACAATTATTTAAAAAAAAAAGGGTCAAAATGGGCCCAACAATAGAATAAGAGTCAAATAGGGGCAATTTATATCCTGCACCACGGCGCGCGTTGCATTGTGCGTCCAAATGAAAAACGACGTCGTTTCAAATTTTATTTTTTTGAAATTTCGCGTACCCAGTGTTTGGTAGTTAATTTTCCTTTAAAAAAAATCTCATGTTTAAAAATGTACATAATGTTATACTAGAATACACATAATTGTATACATGAATGTACATAATTGAATAACAAAATACACATATTTTTTTTTTTTTAAAAAAGATAATACATATAATCTAACATAATACATAATATACATAAACTTTTAACATAATAAACATCAACTCTTAACATAATATACATAAATTTCTTGTTTCGAATGTACATAATTGTATAAAAAAGATATACATGATTGTATAAAAAATGTACATAATTGTATAAACAAATACACATAATTGTATAAACAAATACACATAATCGCGTCAACTCTCTACATGACTTACCAAAACGACGTCGTTTTGGGAGGCGCGGAACGCACAGTGCTATGCGCGTCGCGGTGCATGGTATAACGATTGGTCAAATAGGTCATTCAACTGCACACGAAACTACAATTAGACCATCCAACTCAAAAAAAAAAAAAATAAATTGAGTTCCTGAACAACACAGACTCATGCAATTCAACTCAAAATGACCTGTTTACCTGAAAACGTGCTGACATGGCGGTTTCAAATTTAAAAATATTTTTTAAATAATTTTAAATAAATAAAATTTTTAAATTCCACTCATACGTCATGGATGATTTTTTATTTTATTTAAAAATTATTTAAAATATTTTTAAATTCGGTAATAACCACGTCAACATGTTTTCAAGTAAACAGGTCATTTTTGTTGTATAATCAAACAGCAGGGAGAAGGAAAATACAGAAAATAGAGAGGGATCTTTTCATTCATCCATCATTACTCTATACAACAAGTATGGAGTATATATACATACAAGGTAATTAACGGAAGCAATAATGAGAGATAATTACATAATTGTTACAAACGTTACAATAATATATAATAATGTCCATAATAAGTATAATATTTATAACACTCTCCCTTGGACATTATTTGACCACGATCTTGACTCGTCAAAAACTTGCTAGGAAAACCCTGTGGGAAAAACCTAGATAAGAAAAGAGTACAATAGAAAATATATTCATGCCTCATTAAAAACTTCACTAGGAAAACCACGTGGGAAAAACCTAGTTGAAGAAAAGAGTACACGATATATGTAAAAACATATTTTGTATTAGTTGCCTCATTAAAAACCTTAACTTAAGAAAACCCTGTGGGAAAAACTTAGTTAAGGGAAATATAGTACAACCATAAGCCTTCAGGGCGTAATTTGCATAATCTTCAGGATTTTGGGGTTTATCCATTTAAGCAGTTATTTTGCAACATTTTCCCATTTACATCATTATATCATACTCATGTCTCGTTAAAAACGACACTAGAAAACCCAATGGGAGAAAACTAGTGAGGAAAAGAGTACATGATGTGTTGCAAATAGTGCGCAACTGTTAGTCTTTTATGACTTAATCTTCAGGATTTTACGTCCAATCTTCCGGATTGATTCGAGTAAATGTACTTCCCGTCTCCCCCTGAAGATAACAATCTTCAAGTTCTACATGATAAAATGTATTTCAAAATTTGAAGAAATGGATTGGACAAATCTTCTGGATTTGTCACTAGAGTAAATATATAATAATCTTATGGCTCTTCTAGAGCTCATATAACATTTGTGCAACACAAGTGTTATTGTCCTCATTTTGAACATTTAGGGAAATTCATTGTATAACCAGTTTGGACTTGGCATTGCGAGGCGGGATCAAACAAAATAGCCAGTACCCAAGTAGCCTATTAAAATCGTATCATGGTTTCTTACATAAATGTCATGTCTTTGTATCTCGAAGATACCGGATGATATGTTAATCATTATTCAAATACGTCATTGTAGGGAGCACTAGATTTTGCTAGTAATTTCATCGCAACATGAATTGACATCATCAAGCTCTTTATATATTTCATTGATGTTTACACCATCAATCTTGACTGAGATAATAAGTCCATTATCAATTCTTTATTGAGCACATAATGGTACATATTATTCCTTCTATACGAGGATAATAACCTCATTTGCAACTCTTTAAAGAGTAAATAATGGCACATAATAATACTTAAATAAATCCTATTTCAAGAATTATGAATCCTATTTCGAGAATTATGAATACTCGACGGAGGAGCGACGCGCTGATGAGCGGGTTCCACACCGACACTTGGATGGACGGAACGTCGAGGAACTAGCTCCGCGTCGACACTCAGATTGACGGCACGTCGATGAACTAGCTCCACGCCGACACATGGAGGAGCGGTAGCCGGCCCCGCACCGGCACCCTGACGAGTCGGCCCTGGTCGAGAGGCTGCAGAAAAGAATCGAGGAGTTAGCAAGAAGGGTGGAGGCACGGGAGCAGTCACCGGAACCCGAGGTACGGATGACAGCACCATTCTCCCCAAGCATCATGGACGTACCTTTGCCGAGGGACTTTAGGTTGCCCGCCATCAAGGAGTACACAGGGGCCACTGACCCATGTGTCCACATAACGAGGTACAAGGCTGCTATGGTAATGATCGGGGCAGGAGACGCCATCATGTGCCGAGCGTTCTTGTCCACCCTGGATGGAGCGGCCCAAGACTGGTTCAACACCATCCCGGATGGGTCCATCCAAAACTTTGGGGAGTTGTCCAAGAGCTTCCTGACATACTTCTTCGGTAGCATACAGCATAAGAAACCCTTCTCTCACCTCTGTGTAGTGAAGCAAGATAGAGGCGAGAGCCTCAAAGACTTCCTGATCAAATGGAAAAAGGAAATCAATAATGTCTACGACTTCGACTCCAAGGCGGTGATCCCGATATTTATCCATACCTTAAGATCAGGGTATTTCCACAAGCAGCTGAACGCCCACCACCCCCGCTCTGATGAGGACGGCTAGCCGCTATGCCGAAGCAGAGGACGTTGACAGGAAGAAGAAGGACGAAGAGGATGGTAGGAAAGGTGGGAAGCCTGGGAAAGCTGGTCCGTCCAGCCAGGCACCACTCTCGAACCACCCGACCGCAGGGAAAGGCTGAGACCACGAACGACCTCGCCTGGTCCCCTTGCGCAATTTAACTCCTCTTACCCATCCCGTCAATGTCATTCTAAAGCAAGCTGAGGAGATGGGAATGGTAGAATTCTCCGAGGAGTGCATGAAGGTCTCCCCAAAGGCAGACCAAACAAAGTATTGCAGGTTTCATAGGCAAGCCAGCCACAATACGGGGATGAGTGCCACGTTTTGAAGAGACAAATAGAAGAACTCATCCAGCAGGGCTACTTCCGACATTTCGTCAAGCGATCCAAGCAACAGCAACAGCCGCAACACAATCCACCAAAAAATGTCTGGAGGAATGAGGATGGCACTGAGCCGTCCACCTCGAACGCCAAAAAAGAAGAAGAACACGACCAAATATCTGAGTAGAATGATAGCGAGAAAGAAACTGAGGTGGCGCCCAGACGACAAAAGAAGCACACCATACACTTTATCTATGGTGGACCTGCTGGGGGCGACACGCCCGCAGAAAGAAAGAAGTGGAGCCGGCAGCTATACGTGGGAGAAGTGGTGAATCTTCCCAGAGAAAAGAAACAGAGACAGGAGGCCATCACCTTCTCTGATGATGACCTCCCAGAAGGCCCGTTACCCCATCGTGATGCCCTGGTGATTAAGATGGACGTCAACGATGTCATTGTCCACCGCATCTTAGTCGACACGGGAAGCTCAGTCAATGTGATGTATTACGATGTCTTCACCAAGTTAGGGATACCTAGGAACCAGCTCAAAGAAGTACGTACCCCACTCCCTGGATTTACGGGTGATTCAGTGGAGACCGAGGGGTCAGTGGTCTTACCAGTGGAGATAGGAACGAGCCCTAACATTCGCAAACTTGACGTCGAATTCATCGTGGTAAGACTCACTTGTGCGCACAACATCATATTGGGGAGGCCGGCACTAGAGGACCTCAAGGCCATAGTATCGGTGGAACACTTGTGTATGAAGTTCCCTACTCCAAATGGGATAGGTGTCGTCAGAGGAGACCAGCGAGCAGCCCGCAGTTGTTACGTAAAAGCATGCAAAAAGATTGGCAGAAAGGATCTACAAGTCCACACCATCTGCAAGGATGATCGATCGGGTATGGAACTCAGAACATTTAATTAGATATTATCAGTAATACTTTGTAGTCGTGGTCCGCCCAGACCTGTAAACAGTATTTAGTAAGTCCGCCCAGGTTACTTCGCTCAAACTTATTTTCTCAAAGTCACAATATTTTGTAATCATGGTCTGCCCAGGTTACTTTGCTCAAATAAAAGGTTCTCAATACCACCTTCGATCAACCATGGCCGTCACTACACTCTACAGAAAAAAAAAAAAAAACGGGCCGAGGCCACGCGCCTCAACCCAAAGCCTGGCCGAGTCGCGGTGCCTCGGCTAGCGGCTGAGGCGACGCCTCGGCCGCAGGATGAGGCACACGCCTCGGCCGGGCTAAGGCGGAGCCTCAAACAAAAGCCGGCCGACGCCGCATTGAAAAAAAAAAAAAAAGAGGGGTCGAGGCGCACGCCTCGGCTGTGGCTTAAGCTCAGTGCCTCGGCCGCAGGGCGAGGCACTCGCCTCGGCCAGGCTAAGGCGGCGCCCCAGCCTGAAGCCGGCCCACGCCGCAAAGTAAAAAAAAAAAAAGATAAATAAATGGTAACGATAAACGCAGAAACTGACAGAGGGTGACAAGAGCTGATAGAGAGGTGCTTAAACTGCTCAGACAGGAAAGGATTTGGAAAGCACAAATCATGAGGGATTTGGAAAACAAAATCACATATCCTAAATCACTCAGGATTCTACGCAGTATCAAGATAGATTCAGCTTTACTCCCAAGTCAACTCAAACACATCCGTAGACTCAGGAGTAAGGGGGACTGTTGACAGGATAATAGGGCTGGCACCCGACCCGGATCATAAGTGGGCATCTGACCCGGCGCCATATTTGACCCGGCACTACATGGAGACCCAACGGACAGAACTCCAACGGACAGAATTCCAACAGGAGTCACCTTTATTGCCATTGAAGCCACCATGGATGAGAGAGAATTTAAGGCTTAGCTCCCCATTTATGTCCCATGTTGTTACCGTTAGCACCCTGGTATAAGTAGATGCTCCTCTCAGCTTGGGAGGACACGTTCAATATACTGTACTGAAACACAAAGCAGATACTATTGTCACTTATTAGTCTCATAATAATATTCCCGGTAACATATTTACCGTCAGTCTTGATTTTGTGTTCTTGTATTTTCAAAATCTTTATTTCCATTATCGGATCATACATAACCAAACAACATTATTGATAATCATCCCCATTCCACCCTACTACTAAACTTGGAAAATATTTTCACCAAAACTCATTACCATTACCAAATATTTGATACTCATTCTGATTCCGATTCTCATGTGCGAACCAAACACACCCTAAATTGTGATCAAATAACAAATAACGAGTCAGATTATAATTATAATTATTGTTATGTTTATCACTGATGAGTCATATATTTGTTGATCATATTACTACTACTGCTACTAGGACGACAATGATGATCACATTTCACTTTCATTTTTTGAAGCTTTCTTGGTTCTTTCATGGTTTGATTCTAAGCCTTCATTTTCTAGATAAGTGCTACTTGAGTTTTTTCATGGAACTTTCTTGGTGTTTTCATAGTGAGGTTCTAAAGTTTCAATTTTCTAGCTAAACATTATTGAATTTGCAATTGTGAGTTATATTTGTTCTCTTTATTTTGATCGGTGAAATTGTGAGTATTTATATATTCCCTACTCTTCAATTACGTTTATAACAATTATTTTAGTTTCATTTTCGTGTGTTTAAAAACAATTTACACTAGTAATTATAGCTATCCATTATCATCACAATCAGGTATCAACTATCATCTAACAACTACTTGTGAATTGAAACACCCATATATCTAAAGAGTATCGAAAGAATTTCATTAAATTTTCACAGCCCTATTGCTTTCATTCTCCCAATAAATAGCAACTAATAGTGCATTTCAAGGAATTATATGAAATTTGAGAAACTAGGGAGAGAGAACGTTGATCTTCAGATTTTTAAATACTATTGACAACAAATTAATAGAGTTTATATATATATATATATATATATATATATATATATATATATATATATATATATATATATATATATATATATATATATATATGTTTTACTTGAGTGCATGTGACCATGCAAAGAGTAAAAAAGGATACACATATATATTCCATGCATACTGCATGCATAACCACACCAAATCAACAAAGCAGATGCCAGTCGATTTGATGGACACCGAAAGCATTGATTCGTTTAAAACTAACGATTCAAACTTCGGATCCAAATAATTTTTCCCAATTTACTTTCTACCAAACTAAAATAATCTTTATAACTCCACAACTCCAAATATTATTTAAGTTTTCATGGTAGTTCATCTGAAACATTAATCTTCATTACTATATAAATTTCCAACACAATTCAATCAAAATGAGTAACGGATGGACTTTTAAATTAAAAGAGACTTTTATATAATATTTCTTAGATAAATTGAATCAAAATGATAATTACATTATAATTAACTATACATTATTCCACACCAATATTACTCAGCTGTTGATATATTTGAAGTTACATAACAGAACCACACATACAAATCAAGTCTACATTTGAAGGTAACATGCATCTAATTATGAAAGCACACATGAGCATTACACATACAAATCAAGGCTGAACTTGAACAACTACACCCCCCGTGGGCTCAACAGTGGAGGGTGTTTCATTGATTGTTGCAGAAGTTGAAACTATTGGATCTTGTCTCTCCACCCATTGGCGCCATTCATCAATGCACAATGGCTTATTGGGAGCAAGGCTCGAAAGCTCATGCTTCTCGAAATACTTCAGAATATCTTCAGTTTCTTCAAGAATGATAATTGCATCACGAACACTTTCCTCCCTCTCCTCAATGGCATTGCATCTGCACTTGGTAACTATTACATGTGGCAAATTCGTAAGACAAGCTGCCAATATATCTGCAATCATGCATATTAGCTTTTGAAAAATCTCTTCAGCCTGGTATTCAGCATTTTCATACCATAACAGAATGGTCTGGCTAATTCTGTACATTGAATTAGCTGCTAAAACATTCACATGCCAATGGAGAGGACTTTCCACTATAATTGCGTTTTCTGTAGACTTAAACTCCATGACAGTCTTTTCAGCAATATTAGCAAGAACTTGAATAATCACTTGATGAAGACAATGCAGCAAGATGATGAAGCCATCAGTAGATCATAGCAGAAACATCAGCTCTCTTCCACCTTTTATAGCCTAGGGCTCTTTTGTCTTTTCCTAGAGTTAGTTTAGTTAGTTATAACTTTCATAACTACTCTAGGGCTTAAGTAGCAAAGTCTGCTTCTTTCTTTTCAATAATTCATTCTGTATGGTTTTCTGCTCTTATGAGCTTTCTCTGATTGTAATGAATACACACCATCGTTCCTGAATCCAAGTTCTCCAACATGGTATCAAAGCCTCACCGGACTTACGCCGCAGCAGTTGTGATGGAGCCGGCCGGTGACAGAAACCACAACCAGACAGAGCAGGCAGGAGCCTCTTCAAGCCAGATCCCATCGGATCATCACAATGATGAGTTTGAGGATCCTCTTTACTTACACGCTACTGAGAACCCTAATCTCAGCCTTGTGTCACCTCCCCTAACCGAGATCAATTACAACTCCTGGAGTAGATCGATGCGCATCGCACTGGAGGTGAAGAACAAATTCGGATTTGTCAATGGAACAGTTCCAGTTCCAGAAGCTAATGATCCGAGGCTGACGACTTGGAGAAGATGCAACCGCATTGTATGTTCTTGGATTCTGAGGTCTGTCAATCCAAGCATAGCAGAGAGCGTTATGTACTATGACAAGGCCATAGACATCTGGAATGCGCTACAGAAGAGGTATTCCCAATCTGATCCTCATAGAATTTCTGAAATTCAGACTGAAATTTTTAGAAATGTGCAAGGACAAATGACTGTGAATGAATACTTCACAAAAAGTAATGCCTTATGGCAACAAATGAGTGCATTGAGACCTCTACTCCTGTGCGAGTGTGTGCCAAGATGTTCATGCACTCTAATGAGTAGAATGCAGAAACAGAGGGAAGAGGACCAAGTAATCCGATTCTTGGAAGGGTTAAATGATGAATATGAAGCAATTAAATCTGGGATACTTGTTATGGACCCTATTCCAGAGATGGAAAAGGTGTTGAATATGACCTTGAAGGTTGAAAGAAAGCTTAAAGGATCAAACACCCAAAGATGCAGTGATTTTGCTCAATCCAATGCTATTCATGAGAGTCAAATCAAAATTGGGGAAGAACAATCTGTGGTAGCAGCTGCAACCTTCAACAATAACAGAAAAAAATTTCAAATAATGGGGGTAAGAATGTGCCCAAGTGCACTTATTGTAACATGCTTGGTCATACTGTTGATAAATGTTACAAGAAGCATGGATTCCCACCTGGGTGGGTAGCAGGATACAAATCCAAGAACAAACAATCACAAGACATGCAACAACCCTCAAGTTCAGCAGTTAGTCAGTTGAATGACATAGGCCTTTCAGCTGACCAATTCCAGAAGCTGGTATCTCTTCTTCAGAATCAAAACCATAGTGGTCAAGTGTTAAGTAATGCAGCTGTGACAGTGAACACTTCTGGAATCAAATCTGATTTCAAGAATTCTCTGGAAGGACAAAATGAAGGTAACTCTGTACCTAGAATTCATGTTAATGCTGTCCTTAATACACATTTAATATGGATATTGGACTCAGGGGCCACAGACCACATTGTGTGCTCATTGCAATTTCTTGATAAATATCACAAGATTGAGGGATTATCTGTGAAGTTACCTGTTACTCACTTAGGGGAAATCAAGCTTGATGAAAACATTTTGCTGACAAATGTGCTGTATATCCCATCTTTTACCTTTAACATCATATCTGCTAGTAAATTAACTAAGCAATCTGGATGCAAGATTGTGATAGATGCTAATTCTTGTACTGTCCAGGGACCACTTGGAACCAAGGTTGGTTTTGCTAGAGAAAAAGATGGCCTATATCTGATCAACAGTCCTCCTGTTAAGAAGAATGTTCAACAAGTTGTTGTAGATAACCCTCAATGTAATAGTGTGACAATGGGATTGTGGCATAATAGATTGGGACACTATCCCATTAATAAGATTTCCCTCTTGAATGGAATAAAAGTTACTCCCTTACAGCAGCAATGTGATTTTGTCTGTGACGCTTGCAATTTTGCTAAACATAAGAAGTCTATTTTTCCAGTCAGCAATTCTAAAGCTGAAAAATGCTTTGATCTCATACACATGGATGTGTGGGGACCCTTCTCTGTGGCTTCCCTCAAAGGTGAACATTATTTTTTAACCATAGTTGATGATTGTAGCAGGTTTACTTAGTTACATATGATGAAAAGTAAATCTGAAGTCAAAAACATATTTCAAAATTTCTGCAACTATGTGTCTACTCAATTCTCTGCTAAGATTAAGGTGATAAGAACAGATAATGGGACAGAATTTTTGATGAATGACTTCTATGCTGAGAGAGGCATAGTCCATCAGAAAACATGTGTGTACACCCCCCCAGCAAAATGGAGTTGTAGAAAGGAAGCATCAACACATTTTAAATGTTGCTAGATCCTTGAGGTTTCAATCTGGATTGCCATTAGAATTTTGGGGACACTGTGTGATACATGCCTCTTACATCATCAATAGGTTACCTACTCATGTTCTTGGTGGAAACACTCCTCTTAAACTGTTGACAGGAAAAGATACTGGCTATGAACATTTTAAAAGCTTTGGATGCCTTTGTTTTGGGGCCACTATTTCCCAGGGGAGGAACAAAATGCAACCAAGAGCAAGAAAGTGTGTTTTCCTAGGGTATCCAGCAAATGTGAAAGGGTATATACTTTATGATCTTACTGACAAAGTAACCTTAATTTCCAGAGATGTCAGGTTTTATGAGCTCACATATCCCTTCAGAGAAACAGAAGATCAAAGCTCAGATGAATGTGATGTTGATAGTCCTCCACTTCCTCTAATTCCCATTTCAACTAAAATTCCAGTCCCAGAGGTTTCACCTGATTCAGAAGTCCTAGAACCTGATGAAATGACTCACACTCATAGAGTCACCTCAGAAATTGGTAATGGAAACAGTCCCAGAGATAGAAGCCATCACAGCAGCAGTTCTAATGACAGTACTGCCAGTGTTGATATGAGCACTGAGAGGTCTAGTGCAACAAATAATCACAATGCAGAGCCTAGAAGATCAACTAGATTAAGGGTTGCTCCCCATAAGCTAAATGACTACTACTGCCACTCTATGTCCAACACTGGAACAAGTAAGATATCTGCTATAGGATCATCTCCTCATCCTATACAGAAATTCTGTATATCTTCTGTAGTCACACCTATGGAAACACATTCATACCATGAGGCTGTAAAGCATGATGAATGGAGAAAGGCCATGGATTCTGAGATTGATGCATTAGTTCAGACCAACACATGGATTTTGACAGACTTACCCACAGGAAAACTTCCCATTGGATGTAGGTGGGTATACAAAATCAAACATAAATCTGATGGTACTATAGAAAGGTTTAAAGCAAGGTTGGTGGCTAAGGGATACACTCAACAAATGGGAGTGGACTACACAGAAACATTATCTCCTGTTGCAAGGATGACCACTATCAAGACCTTCTTTGGTAGTAGCAATTGCAAATAATTGGGATATTCAGCAACTTGACATAAATAATGCCTTCTTATATGGTGACCTAGATGAAGAAGTCTACATGGTCCTACCCCCAGGTTTCAAAAGTGATAAGCCCAACCAAGTCTGCAAATTGCATAGATCCCTATATGGGTTGAAACAAGCTAGCAGACAATGGAATGCCAAGCTAACAAAGTCATTATTAGCCTATGGCTTCCAGCAATCATCATCAGATCCTTCTCTATTCACTATGTCATCTAATAACTCCTTCCTTGCTTTGCTTGTGTATGTAGATGACATACTTGTTGCAGGAACAAATTCTGATCAGATAAAATAGCTAAAGCATATGATAGATTCAGCTTTTAGAATCAAGGATCTTGGGCAGCTTAACTACTTTCTAGGCTTGTAAGCAGTCAGAACAAGTACAGGGTTAAATCTCTGTCAAAAGAAGTATGCATTGGAGATTCTAGAGGAGAATGGATTTCTAGATGCCAAACCTGCCAAGACACCTTGTACTCCAGGAACAAGGCTTAACAATACTGAAGGCATACTTCTTGACAATCCTGAAATGTTCAGAAGATTGGTTGGCAAACTACTCTACTTAACCAATACTAGGCCTGACATTTCATACTCTGTGCAGCAGTTGAGTCAATTTGTTGATAAGCCAAGAAGCACACATTTAGTTGCAGCTCATAGGGTGTTAAGGTACATCAAGGCCTCACCTGGAAAAGGACTTTTCTATGCTTCCAACTCTGAACTTAAGCTACAAGCTTTTTCAAATTCAGACTGGGCTACATGCACAGAAACCAGAAAGTCCATAACAGGTTTTTGTATCTATCTTGGGAAGTCTCTCATCTCTTGGAAGACCAAGAAACAAGCTACCATCAGTAGATCATCATCTGAAGCTGAATACAGAGCTTTAGCTTCTACAGTATGTGAAATCCAGTGGCTTTTATATCTTCTGGCAGATCTAAAAGCAAACAGCTACGCAGCCAGTCCCATTTCCTTGTTCTGTGATAACAAGTCTGCTATAGCCATAAGTGAGAACCATGTCCTTCATGAACGCACCAAACACATAGAGATTGACTGCCATGTGGTCCAATAGGACTCAATAATGAATTCTTCTCTTCTAATTTTGAACCCATTCTCTTCATACTTATAATACATGACATAGAGCAAGAAGGCCAAATTTATATCCACAAACGGGGAGCAGGCTAGATTTTGAGCTATCTTAATGAAATTGACCGATTTCTTGTAATCAGATTCCTGCTGACAGTGAGATGATTTCCCCTTTTCAGCTGCATTTTTGTTCCTTGCAGCTTCTAGATAAATAACAGTAAAAGACAGGACAGAATTGATAGCCGTGAGAAGGAGGGTGACCAACCTTCTCACTAGAAAATGTGGGCTACCAGATGCAGCCATCACCCAATACTTTGGAACACTCAATCTCAGCTCTTCAACTGTGTGAAGTTGTTGCCCTTCTTCTTCTTCTTCTATCTGTGAAGCTAGCTTCTGATACTTCAAATCTGCGCATTTCCTAATTGTTGGAACTGCTAAAGCCGTACAGACCATTATTAGGAACATGCAGAATAGAAGATCAATAGAGAAGATGATTCCCGGAAACCGTGAATAATCAAGTACCCCAGTACCTAGTTGGATGCATAAATTTGTAATGACAGTGATTACCAGTATGCCCAAAGCAGTGACATTGATTAGAATATCTTTGTCAGTCAGGAAGCCCAGCTTGGAGACAAAAGTAGACATCGCCATAGTTAAGAAAACAGTGCTACTAATTTTGGCGAAGTTGTCGTTGGGAGACCACATGAGAGACGTGAGATCCCCTGTGAACTTTGTAGCCACACCCAATACCATCAGCCAAGTTGTACTGAGAGAGAAGAAGTTGCAGTTTAATTGTAGTGGCGATCGCCAGTTACGAAACACGGTAGCAAACTCATAGAAGATTGCAAGGGTGCAGGCGAGGGAAGCATCTCCTGCATAAAAGCCTACAATTGGCATCGGCGAAAGGTTCTTCTCTTGCACTCTTCTAACAAACATGGAACACTCGTTACTCATTTTGATTGAAGCTAGCTAGCTAGCTAAGTGCCCTTACAACTTCTCACTTTCAGTAGTTCATATCTATTCAGGATTGTGTTTGTATATTTTTTTATTTATTTTTTATTTATTTTTTATTTTTTATTTCAGGTTTGTCTTTGTATCATTGTATTTATATATATATATATATATATATATATATATATATATATATATATATATATATATATATATATATTAATTAATTAACTCTGATAGTTGTCATTTGTCAATACTATTAGATCTAAATTCTGAATTGAACATCAACTACTTTCTCTCTCCCTACATTTTCAAACTTCATAATTTCTTGAAAATGCACTAGGAATCGCTAAATGCGGGTGTGCACACATCTGTGGACAACAGTGCACACACCTAAATATGGGTGTGCACACATCCGTAGTATGTATGTGAATCCACATTACTTGGGCTAGTGTGCACACGTCCATGAACGATAGTGCACACAGGTGGACACAGCACACAAAAACATAAAAATTAATCAGAACCTTAGATATCCAAAATCCAACGATCCAGAAATGTCCGCACGTTTGTATTTTAAGCCCTGTTTTTACATGAATGTAATTATATATATATATATATATATATATATATATATATATATATATATATATATATATATATATATATATATATATATATAAAGC